TTCTTCCATCACGGCTTCTCAAAGATCCACGCCGGCGACGCTCTCCGACACGCGACCCGGCCCCTTCCTTAAGCCCGTCACTGCTGGCAGCGTGCTGTTCGATCCCCGACACACCTCGCACCCTCCGCCGCCGCCAATCGCCCGCTTGGCCATCTCAGGCGCTCCTGATCGCCAACGAACCGCCTCGTCGCCGACAGAATTCCCGAGCGCTGCATCCTGCACCGGCACTATGGACGGCAAGAGGCACGCAGCTTCATTTCAGCAGCTGGAGAAGCTGGGCGAGGGAACGTACGCTACCGTAAGTCGTCGCCGCCGGGATACACCAGGCCCTTTGGCTATGTGCTAACGTCCACGCTAGGTCTTCAAAGGCCGCAACCGCCAGACGGGCGAGCTGGTCGCTCTCAAGGAGATCCACCTCGATTCGGAGGAGGGCACTCCCAGCACGGCGATCCGCGAGATCTCGCTTATGAAGGAGCTCAAGCACGAGAACATCGTCGCGCTCCACGATGTCATTCACACCGAGAACAAGCTGATGCTCGTCTTTGAGTACATGGACGGCGATCTGAAGAAGTACATGGATACCCAGGGCGAGCGGGGCGCCCTGAAGCCGCCCGTCATCAAGTCCTTCATGTACCAGTTGCTCAAGGGGATTGACTTTTGCCACAAGAACCGCGTCCTCCACCGAGATCTGAAGCCCCAGAATCTCCTGATTAACAGCAAGGGACAGCTCAAGCTGGGCGATTTTGGTCTCGCCAGGGCCTTTGGCATCCCGGTCAACACCTTCTCAAACGAGGTCGTAACACTGTGGTACCGCGCTCCCGATGTCTTGCTCGGCAGCAGGACGTACAACACAAGCATCGACATCTGGTCGGCCGGCTGCATCATGGCCGAGATGTTTTCTGGCCGGCCCTGTTTCCTGGCACTACAACGAGGACCAGATCATCCGCATCTTCCGCATCATGGGCACGCCGACCGAGAGGACATGGCCGGGCCTGACGCAGTTCCCCGAGTACAAGACGACGTGGCAGATGTATGCAACGCAGCCGCTCAGCAGCATCCTGCCCCAGATCGACGCCCTCGGCATCGACCTCCTCCAGCGCATGCTGCAGCTCCGGCCCGAGTTGCGCATCTCGGCGGCGGAAGCACTGACGCACCAGTGGTTCAGCGACCTGATGGTGGGACAGCCGGGGCCGAAGCAGCATCCGCAGCACCTCCAGGCGCAGCAGATGATGCATCCCCACGGGGTTATCAAACAGACCGTCCCTAGCCAGGGCAATTACGGCGGCTACTAGTAGTGGCAGCAGCCGGGGCCTTCACAGAGCGGTATCATACAACAGCCCACGCCAGCGTATACACCAGCGCCGATGCTGACTGCAGGGCTCACCCACCAGCCGGGCGTCCACATCAACTCTCCGTGGCAGCCCTTGCAGGGAGGGCACGGCTATCCACGCGTCGCGCCGCTCCCTCCTTGACAGACGATCGGATGGCCAAGAGGCTGGTGGGCAATCTTACGCATACGTCTTTATCAGAGCCTTGGTCTCAACTGCATGGCGGTGCCGGTTGGGAATGGCGGCGAGGGGGGTAGAATCCCCAACCGAGGCATCCTCATATGAGTTGGTGGCAGTAATGAAAGTGCAGGGAGGAGCCACGCGAGGGATTCATTTCTTGAATGCCTTTTCATGAAGCAAGGTAGAGGGGTCAAGTAATGAGCCTGGAAGAAGGAGGACTGCAGGGGATCGGACGGTCGTAGGGTCATTTTCTAGGCAAAGGGAATATCGATAGAGAACATCTCAAAATTATGGTTCTTTGCAGGCTCCTGGATATGTGCATATGTCCCCTGGACCCAGCTCATGGTCGGCACCCCGATAAGACTGATCAACTTGCTGCTTATCGATAACCTTAATTGGTCTCCTTGTACTCCACCTTCGCGGTCCCTGCCATCTAACGAGTTAAAGTGGGTCCCGCTCCTAACATTAACTGCAACTCGGCTGCGTGTCGGCGACTGTTAACATTAACCACCAAGTCACCAGCAACAAAGCATCTCCGGAGATGGACAGCACCGGCCTGTCATCGCCAACTGCGCCCTCCAGCCGTTCTCTCTAGCCGGGTCTTGTGAAGGCACCCACATTTTTAATAGCACGATTACTATTCCGACATGGCCACGATGGATTCGCGCAAGGGTATGGCTGCTGCGACGCGACACCTCCGACACCTCCCCGCACCTTACACACCTTACACCACTCTCACGGCCCGACCCATATGCTAACCATCTTTTTACCGGCACCAACAGATGACGAGGCCACCATCAAGGTCGCCTCGACCAAGAAATCCGTCACGCCGCGACCGCAGTCCTTCGGCAAGCTCAAGGAAACCCCACCAAAACAGGCCAAGCCCGGCAACTGGAAGGCCAATGTCATCGAAGGTCCGCTGCACTCTTTTTTTTTTTTTTTTCGTTCCTAGTTTCTGAGCCCTCCTTGCTAATTCTTTGCCTGCGACTGCAGAAGACAAGAAGAAAACTAAAGACGGCGCGATCACCGCGGCCTCTCCCAGCCCCGTTACCAACCAGCTCGATGACACCGCCCGCGAGACCTTCACCACCGGCCGTCCCCTCGAAGACCTCCCCGACATGTTTCAATGCAAGCACTGTAAAAAAGGCATCACGCGGTCAGCCGCCAAGGACCACATCGCTCAGTGCTTGAAGATCAAGAAGGAAAAGGCCCAGCGCAAGAAGGAGGCCCGCGAGGCCCGCGAGCGGCTGAAGGAGGCCGCCAGGGAAGAGGAGGCCCGCAAGCTGGAAGGCGACGGCGCAGGTCGTGGTGACGATGATAGTGACGACGACGACGACGAGCGCAAGGACGGCAACGCTGGCAAGACGGCCGGCAAGGCGAAAAAGACCAACGTGGCCGGCAAGAAGAGAAAGGCCGAGGGCGAGCTCGACAAGGGCAAGACCAAGAAAAAGAAGGACGAGCCCAAACCCAAGGTCGCGAAACCAAAAGGTCCCGTCGATGTCGAGAGGCAGTGCGGCGTGCTGTTACCAAACGGCCAGCCCTGCGCCCGGTCCCTGACGTGCAAGAGCCATAGCATGAGCGCCAAACGAGCTGTGCCGGGCCGGTCGCTGCCATACGACATGCTTCTGGCGGCGTACCAGAAGAAGAACCAGGCCAAACAGCAGAAGGCCGCGATCGATGCCAACGCGCCCTTGGAGGACGAGGATGATGCCAACCAAGGGGCTGTCGACAGCGACGAGGAAACGGCCGCCGTCATGGCAGCCCTGGCGAACTGGAACCCGCAGCCTGTCGTGCCGCAGCCCGTGTTCGCCCCGACCAAGCGCCAGTACCAACTAGCACGCCTCCACGAGCAGTTACAAACCGCCACGAACGGAGGCAGGCTCAACATCTTCAAGGTCACTGGTTTCGGCGCTCAGCGGCTTCCCGAAGGTCATCCCGGTCTTTTCGACTACGAAGACGCGCCGGGCGAGCCAGATACGGCCGTGATGGGCGGCGGCGACTTCTCGCGGAGATCGTCCAGCTTCAGTCTTGCGGGGCCTCCGCAGCGGCGGCCGTCGGTGTCGGGCCGAGCGTAGGGTGCTCGATCGTACAGCGTGCCGTTGTCTTGCATCTTGCCTCAGCCGCAACAGACTGCTGATGCCTGGGTTAGTCCACCTCGATGCGAAACTAGCGTCCCGGACATGAGCCGCTGTCTCATCCCGACCGCGAAGGCGCTCGGAATCTGGTTTGCCATGTCTGCCTCACGAGTCCAGCAACAGCAAGGCGCGCACAAACAGCAGCAGCAACTTTGGCCGCAACAAAAAAACACCACACAGCAATCCTCATCTACAACACACCATGAACGAAGCACGGGCAGGGCACAGCGGATTTTCCACGAGCGGATCTACCATCACCAGCAGCAGATGCAGGCGCACGCAGAGATTGCAGCCATGAAGCTGGGGCTGGTCCCGGGTCTGAAGCAGACGCGGCGTGTGAAGACCCCAACTGGGTCCTCATCGCCCACCACCCCGAGTCGTCAAGCTCGAGACGCGATTGCGGCTGCCGTGGCCATCACCGGCGCTCATAACCTGAGGCCGACAGTACCGTCGCCGTGGCCACTGATGGAGACGGCACCGATGGCGCGTCAGCAAGCCGAGCAGCAGACGGTATGGGGCTTGCCGAGGGCGGTTTAGGAGGCGGTCTAGGAGGCGGCTTAGGCGGCCGCTTAGGGGAGGAGTGGGAAGGGGACGGAGCGTTGGCTTTTGACGCGGCTTGGTCACTTTATTATTATATACCCTACATCAGGCGGTTCTTTTCAGGTTTGTTTTACTCGCCCTCTTTCACTCGCATCCTTTTCATTTCCTCTCTCATCACACGCAGAACGCTGGATTACTTTCCGATTCTGGCGTCGCGTCTATTTCCTTTCCTTTCTTTACTCTACAGCACATGGCATGCTCGGCGTTTTTATCAGGGGATGGATGCAACCTGCCCCTGGGATTTGGAACTCGGATTGGGTTTGGCTTTGCAGATGGGAACCTGATTGTGAGTTGGGAACCGGATTGACACAACGGAGTTGGTTGGTTTTGGTGGCCCTCTGCTTTCCTTTTTGTTTTGTTTCCCGTCTTCCCTTTTCCGCCTCCGGCTTTGGTTTTGAGCCGGCATGATTGATTGCATTGGGCGAGGCGAGGCGGGATGAGGTCATTCTGAATGAATGCGTCTTGGGATTGGGCTCCCTGTCTTGTACACTGTATACACTACACTACGCTACGCTACATTCTGCTACCGTAGGCTATGTAGGTGCTCGGGATGTTTTACACCCACATCACAACACATCACCATCTTCAACCCTCAAGGTCTCCAACCCTTTTCTTTCACTGAAAACTTCAAACCGTGTAACAACAAGAAACCAATCGGTTCCCCACCACCCGCCGAGCCAGGCTGGTTGATAAACCCCGTTCTCGTCTTGTCGTCTCCATCGCAGGAGAGTGAGACTCCACTCCCTCTTCTCGACAAGGGCGTGTGGCTCAGTTGGTAGAGCGTTCGCTTAGCATTGCCTGGGGTTACCTGTAAAAAGAGTACTCCGCTCCGGTTGATGCGAAAGGTCCTGGGTTCGATTCCCAGCTCGTCCAGTTCTTAATCAAACACGAGAGAGGGAAGTTGAGGTTTATTTTTGGTTTTCCATTGTGGGGGTTATTAGGAGGATGCTTTCTTTTTTAGGGTGGGATTTGATGTTGGGTTGTTTTTGGGATTGGGCGGTTGCGGTTGGATTTGATGGGTTGGGATGGGAGGATTGAATTGGCGAGGTCAAAGATGGCACTGGCAGCCTGAACAGAAAGAACATTGAATGTTTTGGGTTCTACCATGGTAGATATCCCAGAAGGTGAGGCTCACTATGCACATGCACATGCACATGCACGCATGCATCGGCGAGTATGCGTGTGCATCGGATCGGCCATGGCACAGCAGAAGGGGACCCTGATCCGGCACTAACACGCGGGATGACGTCGTTGCCGGGCACTTCACACCTCGGCTTATAACACACCACCACGACCAAGACGACAACGCAGAGACCGACGATGTCTCGTCATCGTCCGATTCAACATCAACAGTGATCAACGTTGAGGATACCATTCACATATACACACACCAACTGAGCTGCTCCCCCAAACCAAGTCAAACCACACCATCACCCCGTACCTCATCAAGCCCCTTCTCACCAGCCAATTACCACTCCCCTCCCTTTCCACCCGGCATAACCAAACCCAAAGTCCCCATCCCCTTCACCATGCCCCCCTCACCACCCCCCTCCTCCCCGTCTTCCTTCCTCCCCTCCCTGGGGCACGCCTCCTCCGGCGCCCTCGGCACCCTCGTCTCGGCGCTGACCACCTACCCGCTCGACCTGGTCAACACGCGGCTGAAAGTGCAGCGCCAGCTGCGCGCCGACGGGGCGATACGGGAGGCCGACACGTACGACGGCGTGGCCGACGCCTTCGCCAAGATCTACGCCCACGAGGGCGGGGCGCGGGCTTTTTTTGCGGGCTTGGGTGTCGAGCTGGGCAAGGCGGGGGCGGATTCGTTTTTGTGGTTTTTGTTTTATAATGTGAGTCCTCATCCTTTCTCTCTTTCTCTCTCTTTTTACCGCTTTTTTGGTCTTTGGGTTGTGTCGTGATGGATGGGGGAAAGTTGTCTGGTTTGTTGTAGGAAGAGAGTGGGCTTGGCTTTTGGTGGTGATTGACGCAAAAGTGTGACAGTGGTTCCGCGAAATCCGGCTCGTCGACCGCAAAGACCTGCCGTACCTCCGCGTCCTCGAGGAGCTCGCCGTGGGGGCCGCGGCGGGGGCGTGCGCAAAGCTGTTCACGACGCCCGTCAGCAATGTCGTGACGCGGCGGCAGACGGCGAGCTTGCTCGACAGCAGCAGTAGCAGCGGCAGCAGCGGCAGCAGTGGTGGTGGCAAGGCCGGCAAGGCAAGGGCGGGGGGGGGGGCGCGGGACTTGACGTTTGGGCAGACCATCGCCGAGATGAGGCGGGAGCGCGGCGTGCTGGGCTTGTGGGCGGGGTACTCGGCGAGTCTGGTGCTGACGCTCAATCCGAGCATAACCTTCTTCCTGCAGCAGGTGCTCAAGAGGGCGCTGGTGCCGCGGGAGAAGTGGCATGAGCCCGACGTCAAGACGACGTTTCTTTTGGCGGCGGTGAGCAAGGTCGTGGCGACGGCCGTGACGTATCCGTTTCAGATTGCCAAGGCCAGAGTGCAGGTCTCGGTGCCGGAGAAGGGCAAAGATGGAAAGGAAACGGCAAGGGACAACATCTTCGCGACGGTGTTGAGGATAGCGCGGGTCGAGGGGACAAGGGCGCTGTACGACGGGATCGGCGGCGAGTTGCTGAAGGGATTCTTCAGTCACGGCACCACCATGCTCTCCAAGGACGTCATCCATCGGTTCATCGTGCAGCTCTATTTTGCCATCTTGGCCGCACTGAGGCGGTACCCTCAGTTCAGGACAAGGCTATCTGGGAGGATGCGGGAAGCCCGGAAAGAGATGCGGGAGCGGTACCTGCGCGCCTCATCATCAGGGGCAGACGAAGTCCGCCGGGGCGTGCGCTATGTCAAGGACGCAGTTGACTCAGGGGAGAGTACCGCGGCAAATTGGTTGAGCGGGCGCCTAATGAAGGTGGACGGATGAGACGCCAAAAGAATGGAAACCCAACCCAAACCCAGCTCAGGTTCGGGCTCGCGGACTCGGTTTTTGTTTCCCAAGAGATTAGCTCAAGTTGTCCTTGTTTGTCAACCTCAACACCGGAAAGTGACTGCATCCTTCTTGACTTGATTGCTTCCGCCGGCCGAAAAGCCTGTGCCCTCGCGCCGAAGCTCCACTAGACCAGGGCGGACCTTATCCTTTTCTGCCTTTCCTTCTTTCTGAGGTGTCTCTGTAAGGTCAGCATCGCAGACATAACAACGCACCGCTTCCCCATCGGACGGCTTCATAAACTGGTCCACGCAGCTCTTGCAGAGGACATGCCCGCAGGGCTTGGCCAGCGTCGCTCTGGAGGAGTTTGTCAGGCCCTTCGTACAGGCAGGGCATATTCTTTGGGGCTTTTTCGTGTCCGAGTCTTTCTCCTCTGTAAAGTTGACAGTGACGAGCGTGTGTAGTGAGTAGTGGTGTGGTCGGTCTTCGGCAGATGCTGGACACGTAGGTTGTGTCTTGACCTTCTTTTTCACTTCATGCAAGGTGTTGCTGCTGTTTGAAGACGGGGTTACCGAGGGCGACCAGAAGGATGGCAATGTTGGTTTTGACGACTACACAATTGACGAGTCAGTCACGCAGTTCAGGGGCAATGAGGAGCCCCGCCCTACCTTTTCATCATCGATCGCCCTCCTCGCCTTTGCGCGCTCCTCCTCGGCAATGCGGGCAACCTCATCCGGGTCAAGCGAGAACTTGCGTTTCTCTCCTGTCTTGGGGCCGCTTTGCTGCCCGCTCCCGTTTTCACTCGAGGGCTCCCGCCCAGGCGGCTCCGTTTTCTCCCTGCCGCTGCTCGTATTCCCCCTCTTGATACTCAACCCAGCCTGCGTCAGCTCAAACTCGCGTATTGCGCGCTCCTGGGCCTCAGCATCGCGCCGTGCCTTGTCCTCCTGGGCCGCCCGATCTTCCTGCTCGCGGGCCTTCTCGGCGCGCTTAATCTCCTTCTTTTGGGCCAGGATGTTGCTGAGGGCGCATTCGCGACAGAAGATGTCGCCGTGGAGGCAGGCGACTGGGTCTATGGCGGGCTCGAGGCACAGCCAGCACGAGGCAAAGGGGAGGAACGAGTCCCGCGAGAGGCGCGCCGTCGACGAGCCCCAGGCGGCGCGGGCCATGGCACGCTCGTGCGACGTGAAGATGGGCCGGCTGGTGTTTCTTTTGCCTGGGAGGTCAGATTGATTCACCCAGCCGCAAAGTTACGGTCAAACGACTTACTGTGCGCCATTGTTGCTGGAATTTGTCGGTGTGGAAGAAGGGGTTAATTCCTCACAGGATGGCTGCTGGAGAGCTGAAGAGCTGTGGCAGGGCTGAGGTGCACTTCAAGTTTCCCAGGCCCCCACAAGTCAGCAGCGCTTGGAGCTCGGGTGGGTCCAGAGATCTCAGTTAGCGGTTTGTGGGGGAGCGACCCCTGTTCTGACACGTGCAGCAAACGTTTGTGGACCGCGTCTCGGCAGTCGCGACTCTTTCCAGGTTTGAGGGAATTGCCATTCCCAACAATTGCAGGCTGTGGAACCTAGCGGCAAATCGGCTGAAGGCGTTCGGGTTTCTCTTTTTTTTTTCTGCCTTTCCCTTCTTGCTTCTTGCTTCGGGTCTTGTCAACGAGCGCTCTGCAATTCGTTCGTGCGACAGTTGATTGGGATGAACGACAATGGGACCATGTAAAATCTCGGTCCGCAATTCTTGAATAAATTGGCTTTGGCGACCAACCTCGAAACGATGTCGACGACACCCGCGTCGGGGCACCAGGGGCCCCAGCGGCCGAGCCTCTCGTTGCGCCTGAAATCAGCCATGATTATGGGCATGACGGGTGTGCTCTCCAAGGCGTTTTTGTACGGGTTCAACAAGGTCGAGGTCACGGGCCTTGGCAGGTTCCTCGACCTACTAGACAGCCGTAGAGATCCTGCAAACAGACAGCGTGGACTCTTGACTGGTGCGATGAGCTAGCCCAAGCCGAACTCGCGCTCATGTGAAGCTGACTTGTCGTAGTCTCCAACCACATTAGCGTGTGAGTGTTGTCATGAGATCCCCCATCCTACAAGCGGCATTCTCATAGTTTTCCCTGCAGACTCGACGACCCCGTAGTCTGGGGCATCCTCCCCTTTCGCTACATCTTCGACCCCTCCAACCTCCGCTGGACCCTTGGCGCAGCCGACATCTGCTTCGCAAACAAGTAATGCATCCCTCTCCCTTCCCGTTCCCTTCCCCTGCCCTTCCCCGTTCCTTCCCCTCGCCAGTTCTGCCTCCACCCAACCCAACCGCTAACACCCTCCCCCCGCCCAGATTCGTCTCCAACTTCTTCACCGCCGGCCAAGTCCTCCCCTGCCACCGCCTCAAACACTCCCCCTTCGGCGGTCCCTTCCAGCCGGCCCTCACCCAGGCCATCCGCCTGCTGTCCGCCCCGCTCCCGCCCACCACCCCGTCCAACCAGACCTACACCACCACCGGTCTCGACCTGCACCCCTCCCCCTTGTCCTTCCCCAACTTCCGCCGCTACAGCTGGGTCCACGTCTTCCCCGAGGGCTGCGTGCACCAGCACCCGTCGACCGACCTGCGCTACTTCAAGTGGGGGCTGGCGCGGCTGATCCTCGAGGCCGACCCGGTCCCGGACATCCTGCCCATGTTCATCGACGGCACGCAGCGCGTCATGCCCGAGGACCGCGGGTTCCCGCGCTTCCTGCCCCGGATCCGCAAGACGGTCAAGGTGGCGTTTGGGGAGGTGCTGGACTACGACCAGACGTTCGGGGACCTCAAGAGGCGGTGGGAGGGGCTGGTCCTGCGGGAGCAGCAGCGGGTGGCGGCGGGTGGGGCTGCTGGAGGGAGGGGAAAGGCGGGGCAGGAAGTGGTGCTGGCGCTGCCGCCCGGGGAGCTGGCGACGGAGGAGCTGAAGAACGGCAAGG